TAGGATATACTCTCACTTGCCTATCTAGTTTCCTCTGCTATGACTAACTTTGCCCGTCACATGCTAATAACACTGACCTGTACAGAACTCATGGGGCACACTATGTTCTAAGGCCACAAAAACCACTCATGCTATTGGCTCTACCTAGAAATGTTCTCTGCTGCTTGTCAAGCCATCCGACCTACTCAGCTTTCAAGTCTCAATTCAAAACAAGTATACTCAAGCCCTTGCTCAGCATTTCTACCATAGATCCAGAGTTCTAAGCTTCCTTTCCACATGTACCCACTTCCAGTTTAGCACACAACACATACTTGAACTGTATACAGATACAGATAATCCTACTGTACTATAAACTCTTTTTTGGAAGGTAGTCATATAATCCTTAAATCCTCAACATTATATAAATATATACAGCATATGATTTTTTTAAGTAAGGGGAAAGTTAATGAATGAACGTTAGACCAACAAAATGGCAAGAAAATCAAGTAGGTGTCATAGAAAGAGGAAAAAAGACCTTAGGTCTTAAGATATTGCAAAATCAAATTAGATATTATGGGGGGGAATTACATTAAGTGATGCCCATGAAAAATTTAATAGTTATTTTGGTATTATGCAACAAAAAAAGTTATCATTGGACTATGCAGGATATAAGGAACTAAAAGTTTCCACTGGAACAGTTGACAAAAGATTGACAGAGAAATCAAAGTAAAAGATAGCTTATTTGGGTAGAGGAGGAAATTCATTGAGCTGGGCACATTGGTGGCTCATGGCTGCAATCCTAACTATTGAAGAGGCTGAGATCTGAAACAGTTCAGAATCAGCTCAAGAAAATAAATCCAAGACTCTAACCTCAAAGTAACCAGAAAAATGCAGGAAGTGAAGATGTGGCTTCAGTAGTAGAGCAATAGCCTTAAACAAAAAAGCCAAGCAAGAGTGCAAGGCCCTGAGTTCAAGCCCCACAAAAAGGGAGGGAAGGAGGGAGGGAGGGAGGGAGGAAGCAAGGAAGGAAGGGAGGAAGCAAGGAAGGAAGGGTGGGAGGGACCGAGGGAGGGACCGAGGGAGGGAGGGAGGGAGGGAGGGAGGGAGGGGAGAAAGGGTAATTCACTGAGCTAGACATGGACATCCATAGACTGGACAAAAGATTGGCTCCTACTGTCAGTTTACCACTTCTTTCTTTGTCATTATTTTGCACATCCCTTTCCCAACCATTACTACCAAACCTCAGAACCCATGGCTAATTCCTCTCCATCTGACCCACAAATCTGGACTAGGCAATTAGTCTAAGAGACTAAGAGACTGAAGATGTGAGGTTTAGAGCCTAGAGGAAAAATGAAACTAGTATTTACTAAAGACCCATTTTGTAGCTCCATTACATTACTGAATCCGGCAGTAACTAGGAGTAATGTTCACATCTTACACTTGATGAGTGGATGCCCAAGGTCACACAGTTAAACAATGACAGAGATTACTCACAAACCCAGATGACAGTCTTCAGAGTTTTTCTATGCCTCTTACCTCTTCAAAATGGCTAAAATGTAGTCTAACCATGATAATTTAGAAATCAGAGACATTTTTTTCTCTGAAACTCTATTATACATGTCATTTATAATACACCCATCACTAACAAAATAGGTACATGATGCGTTTAAACATTGTTGGTGCTCTGACCTACAACCTAAATGCTATTTGTTATTTTATTTCTATAAGTTCACTGTTAACACTACAAAAAAGACTGAATTTTTGGAATATAAAAGTTTGTAATGAGGTATTTCTTTAAAGAATACTTTTCTTTTGACCAAAGCCCAATGTAAAAGCCTCCAAGGACAGACACTATTTCCCCCTTGTTAACTTGTACAAAACAATGACACTAGAAGACACCTGTGGGAAACGTGCTTATCTGACCAGGTGTTCATTTTCAGTGTGCTGTCATTTGAATAAAACATCATGCTAAGCCCTACAGACCAGAGCTTATAATAGAAATGCCACAAACTACAGCAGCACAGCTGATAAGCCTATAATCTACTGACAAAACGTACTCCTTAGCAAAGTGAAACCAGATGTCTGGTGTGAAATCAGATGTCTGTGGACTTGTCTTTCTCAGCTTCCAGAGCAGTATTAGATACACTAAATACACAGCTTAGCTGTATATTAAACCCATAACTTGGCAAAATCATGACAGTTTGGACACGAAGCATCAGCATTTTTATTGTAATGCTTATAAGCCAAAGACACTTCTGAAATAGAAAATCTAACTTTAAGCACTCAGCTAAATGCAGTAGTATGTCTTTCTCACATTGGGAACAATGTCAGAGCTTAACACATGATAGAGACATTTCCTTTCATTTTCACCTGACACTTTTTAGACAAGACTGTAGAATGATCCAATAGGGAGAAATCAAGCCACATCAGGTGTCAGTCTTTTCCCCAGAAATTTTAGGATCAGATACAGTAGGCTATCTACTGGGAAAATACAAGAGGCTTCTCTCCTATGGGAAAGAAAGATACTAGGTTGCTTTCCACTATCCAAAGGAAGATCACAGTGATGGACTGATAAACAAAGAGGGAAATGAAGGGGCCAGGCATTCTTTTTTGCATATTCTTTTTTATACACTTATTTTTCTGTTTAGGCAGATGATAAATCAAAGAGCAAATAAACTGTAATAGGTCCTAAGTTTTCAATAAATAAGAGCCAAGGTTCAAGTCCATATGTAGATGACTACAGGGGATGGGAATAGTGGTAGAGACCTTATATAGCTTTTGCACAACTTTGGATTTGATCCCTAGCACCACAACCACATAAAAAAGGGTGGGGGGGAGGAAAGGGAAGAAAGTAAGGGAGGAGAGATAAGAGAGGAAGGGAAACAGAAAAGGAAGGGAAGGAGGGAAGATGGGAGGATGGAAAGAAAAGAAAGAATGGCTGGGCACTAGTGGACCAAGGCCTGTAATCCTAGCTACTCAGGAGGCTGAGACCTGAGAATTATAGTTCAAGGCCATCCGAGGCAGGAAAGTCCATGAAACTTTTATCTGCAATTAACCATCAAAAAAGCCAGAAATGAAGCTGTGGTTCAAGTGGTATAGTGCTAGTCTTGAGCAAAAAAATCTCAGGGACAGCACCCAGGCCTTGATTTCCAGCCCCAGGACAGGTGTGTGGGGGGAACTATAAAAGTCATACTGCTTCTTGTTGTTGTTGTTGTATGTGGATTTTTTTATTATTTATTTTGTGGCAGTTCTGGTGCTTAAACTTCAGGCCTTCGCTTCTATACATATATATATCTATGTATATTATATATACATATGATATACATGCATATATATCTCATACATTGTTTCACACACACAAATATATATATAGCTAAGCTGTACATATACCCTGTAATATAAGCTGTCCATATATAAGTTGTACATATATCCTTACCATACATTTCATACATATATATCCCATATATGTACATTTACACATATATATCCCGCATGTGTAAATATAGACCAAAAGTTGAAAAACATAAATACCAAATTATCTGAGAATGGGATCATAGGAGACTCATGTTCTATTGACCTTTCCTATTCCTTTGAGAATAAATTCTAACTTTGTTTTGATTTTATATAACTCCTGTTATCAGGGGGGAAAAATAACTTTTCAGGGCACAAATTATACCAGTTGGGCCACACCTCTACCCAAAAAAAAGGAACTTTTCTCATTTCAAGAAAGAAATGTTAAATGTATTCAAACCCACCTAAGAGTCTACTTTAGTATTTATTCTCCTAAGTGTACTTTCCTAACTCATCCATGTTTTCTTATATTAGGCCTTGTAAGTATGTGTATGCACACCAATATAGGAACTTGAACTCAGCCAGATCCTTTAGCTTGTTTAAAATCAAGGCTGGAGCTCTACCACTAGAGCCACAACTCCACTTCTAGCTTTTTGCTGGTTAATTGGAGGTAAGAGTCTCTCAGATGTTTCTGCTAGGATTACAGGCATGAGTCACTAGTGCCCAGCTATATTATGCCTTCTTACAATTCAAAAGCTATTCTCATCCACCTGTTGAATAAAATATTATACTGAAAATGACTGCAACACTATTTGTTATGGGAAATAAATTACCATGACTGTTCATCTTTACTAAAAAGAAACTCCCACAACACTGTGTGTAAGGTCTGTAATATAGGAAAATTCTTGTACAATTACAAATATTCAGAAAGTGAATGGTGAAAGGACCATCCCAAAATGATCATCCCCAACATCATTCTTCCCATCCTGCTTCATCAGTGTTCAACACATGGTAAGGCAGGGATCATATCTATTTGATCGTGAACCCACTACCAATAATAGCCAGTTCTTAGTTTCCCATAAAGAGTATTATGTGGATACCTACCACTTGACACAGAAGATGGATTCACAGTGGGTCAATGCCAAAATGATCATACAAGAAAATCCTAGTTTTCCTGTGTCAGAATCCAGGAATATACTTTACTGTACTCTTTCCTGGAGTTCATCTGAATTTTAACTGAAGCGTTTAGTGATTTGTGACATAGAAGACGCCACGGGGATCCGAACTGTTTCATTTTAGCCTAGGGAACAGGGAAGCAATGTATTGGAGAAATGATGCCAAGGTCCCAAAGAACCAAACCAAGACACCACACTGAAACCATCAGATTTCCCCCAACGGCCAGGGGCTGTGTGGCAACTTTTCAACAATGCAGAGTGCTTGTTGCAGGGGGCATGGCGATGTGGGCCCTGTGAGGGGCTACCGCGGGACCAATAATGTTCCACATTAAAGCAAGTGAAGGGAAGTGAATTTTCCTGCTGGGTCCAGTGACTACACAGGATTGATGCTCAGGCCATCCAACTTTCAGGTAAGTCCACTCTGGAGCTGGAGGGGGGCGGGGGGGGGGCTGGGATCGTGCAGCTGAGTCTCTGGCTCCTGATAAGAGAATGTGGTCCCTTCACGTCTAAGGGAGGAGCTCCGGGCTCCTTCCTCCCCCGTGGAGCCTTACTTACCCTTTCTCCCGTTCGTCCTCGGTGAGAAGGGGTAAGTGGTTATTGTGTACCCTCGCCCAATTTGGCCAAAGACCCTAAAACGACAGAGATGAGACACGTCCTTTAAATCCTGCTGGGAAGGCGGCGGCGCTCCCGCCCTGGCCCGGCGCGGCCGGCAGCCGCGCCCCACAGC